TCGGCTGTTAATTTCATCCACTATCTTGTAAGGGATGCTTCATTTTTTTCTCTTGCTGCTTTGAAGATTTTCTCAGCTTGGAACATTTTTACTGTGATGTGTCTGTGAATATCTTTTCATTTCTTATACTTGGAGCTCCTTGAGCTTCCCCGGTATATAGGTGATCGTCTTGCAGAAAATGTGGGAAATTTTCAGCCATTTTCTCTTTGAATATTTCTTCTCCTTTCTCTCTTTTTTTCTGGCACTTCATTACCATGTGTTGCTGCTCTCAATGGTGTTTCACATTTCCCTACAGCCCTGTTCATTTTTCTTCTTTTCTTTTTTCCCTCAGTTCTTCAGCTTGCCTGACCTCTATCCATCTGTCTGCAACTTCACTAATTCTCTTTTGTACCAGTTCAGATCTACTGTTGAGACCCTCTACTGGATTTTGAAAATTTCATTGTATTTGTTTTAACTTAATATTTAACCAAAGGCAAGATTTTTTTTCTTATTGACTTATTTATTTATTGACATATAGTGGATCTACAACGTTGTGTTAATTTCTGGTGTCACTTTTGTACTTTTTAACTCCAGAATTTCCACTTGGTTCTTTTCTTAAGAAGTCATTTCTGTCTTCTTAATGATAGTCTCGATTTAATGGGACATGATGATCACACCTTCTTTTAATTCTTTGCTCATGCTTTCTTTTCATCCTGTGAACTTACCTGTTATGGCTCCTTTGAAATCTGATAAATCTGATACCTGGTCACTCTCTCAAGCAGATTCTGGTGCCTTGTCCCTTTTTCCCCATGTATGGGTCATACGTTCCTGTTTCTTTGTGTGCCTCATAATTTTTGTTAGAAACTGGACATTTTAGATAATATACCCTGTAGGACCTCTGGGTACCAGTCTCCCTACCTCTTCCAAGACTTGTTATTGTTATTTGCTTGTTTGTTTGTTTAGTGACCGGCTGGATTCTTGTAGTGAAATCTAATCACCTCCACCCGATCGGCACCACCAAGTGTTAAGCCTCTGGTGTTACTCCTGAGGGAGGCGTAGCTTTGGGTGTGCCCACAGTCGTCCTGGGGTGACAGTGACGTTAGTAGGGCTCTCTCCCACTGTTTCCCAGACCACATCCAGCTGATAAGCCGCACTAATTGCTTGCCATTTGATCCAGTAGAACGCAGTCCTGGAATTTGCCCTGGAACACAAATTCCTTTGCAGACTCACCCCGTCGTACCTTAGCTCCCTGCCGGAATGGCCTGTGAGTTCAGTGTGTGATATTTGCTCTGCCCCCAGGAGAGCTCCTGCCAGCCGTCTTATCCTCTTTTCTCTCCTGCAGACTAGTCAGCCCACAGTCTGGGCTGTGTCTCGGTAGCTCTGTGCATTTCCTCGCACTGCCCTTCACTGCCCCCTCCACTCTTCCCGGGTCTCCTTCTAGGCAGACTCTCTGCGCCCAGGGCCCTGGAGATGGAGGGGTTTGGTGAAGATGGGACAGTGGCAGCCTTCCCTCCCAGTAACAATTTGCTCCAAGATGAGCATTCAGGGAAGGGAGGAGGGAGCAGCCTGGAGTCCACTGGGCTCGCTGCTCCTAGTGCGAAGCCACCGTTTCACAAGCCGGGAGAAGCATTCTCAGCCGCCTTGTCCCAGTGCAGTCTCCGTTCCACAAGTGGGGATTGAACAGAAGGAGGGAGCCCCCATATGAGTTAGCCTGCCCTGGGACAGAGCCCTGGAGCAGAGGTGTGAAATGCCCCGCTCTTCCTGAGAGGGGAGCCTTACCCTCAGCCGCTGGAGGAGAGGGGCCCTGGGTCCGGGCGGCAGCGGTCTGGAGTGGGGTCTCCGCTGGAGGAAGGAGGAGGGAGGGAAGGGCCTCGCTTTGGTGACCGCAGGCTTGCTGTTCTTACACACTTTGTAGGTTTGCTCGAATAGATGTTTCTGCACTTGCTGTTTGCCCTGAAGACCTTTCCCAGAGGTTTAGGTGGTTATTTCAAATATTTCACCACTTCCACTGGGGAGCAGCTCAGTAGAACCTGTCACATCACAAGTCAGTTGTCTCTTCCACATCACCGAGCTACTCTGGAAAACAGTTTGGCAGTTTCATAAAGACTGAACATAGACACTGGGGGAGGGTACAGCTCAGGGGTAGAGCACATGCTAGCATGCACGAGGTCCTGGGTTCAATCCCCAGTGCCTCCATTAAATAAACAAATAAACCTAATTACCTCCCCCCTCCCAGAAAAAAAGAAATAAAAATTAAAAATTAAAATATTTAAAAGAAAAAAGACTAAACATGCACGTATCATAGAACCCAGCACTTGCACTCCTGGCCATTCATCCCAGAAAACTGAAAACCTGTGTCTCCACATAAATCCGTACACAAGTGTTTATAGCAAATTTTGATGATAACCAGAAGCTGGAAACAACACAAATGGCACTAAGTGGTTAAACAGACTGTGGCGCCATGGAGAACTGCCCAGGAACGGAAAGGAAAGAACTCTTCCTCATGCAACAGCCTGGATGGGTTCAAGGGCATTGTGCCTGCGCTTGGTGGAAAAAGCCGATGTCAGGACACATACTACCCCCCCCAAATACCATGTGATTCTATCTATACAGCAATCTCAAAATGCCAAAATTACACAGATAGAGAACAAACCAGTGGACCTAGGGGGGATGGTAGGGGAGGAGTGGTGTGACCGTAAAGGTATAGCACAGGAGAGTTCTGAATCCTGACTGTGCTGGGGTCACATGAATCTCCGTGTGACACTGTGACACGCACTCACTTTGCGTCAGTGGCAGTTTCCTAGGTGCCGTACTGGACTGTTGTCATTAGGATGTAAACAGTGGGGGAAAATAGGGAAGCAGGACCTCCTGACCTCCCTTACTGTCTTTTTTCCAATAATAGCTTTGTTGTAGTTCACGTAGCATACAGTTCAGCTTTGAAAACATACAGTTAGTGATTTTCTAGTGTATTCCCAGAGTTCCACATCTGTCACTGCAGTTCGTTTTAAGACACTTTCATCACCCCAGTAAGAAGCTCGCCAGCCCTTAGCCGTCTTCCCCAGTCCTGCCGTCTTCACCCGTCCCTGCCTCCAGCCCGAGGCAGCCTCTCACCAGCTTTCCATCTCAGCAGATGTCCCGGTGCTGGACATTTCACATTTCACTTATCAGGTGTCTGTGACCAGCCTGTTTGACGTAATGTTTTCAAGGCCCATCCGTGTAGAATGTATCAATACTTCATTCCTTTTTCTTGCCAAATAATATTCTACTTTATGGATGTATACTGAATTTTATTGATTCGTTCATCCCTTGTTGGGCATTTGGGTTGTTCCCATTGGGGGTTATTTTGAATAATGGTGCTGCAATCCATTGTGTACAGATGTTTGTGTGAACCCCTGTTTTCATTTCTCTTGGGCATACACCTAGGGATGGAATTTCTGAGTTGTTTGGTAACTATATTTCACGTTCTAGGAACTCCCAGATTGTTTCCCAAAACGAGTACATTTTCCTTTCCCACCAGCAGCACATGAAATGTTGATTTCTCTACATCCACACCAACGCTTACTGCCTCTTGTTTGATTATAGCGTCCTAATGGCTGTGAAGGGGTATCCACCATGTGAAGGGCTGTCCACTGTGGTTTTGACTTGTGTTTCCCTAATGCCTAATGATGTTGAATACCATCACATGTTTGTTGGCCCTTAGTATATATTTTTTGGAGAAATGTGTCTGTTTGGATCTTTTGTCTTTTTTAGTTGGTTTATCTTTTCTATAATTGAGTGGTAAGAATTCTTCCTGTGTTCTAGATACAAATCCCTTATTAGACTTAACCTCTATACTTTCTTTGCAGCTTCTGTGAATCTATAATTATTTCAAACCAAAAAGGGTTTTGAATGCTTATAATGAAATAAACATACGTCTGAAATTGGTTGACACCTGACTGGGGTCAGTAGATTCTCTCAATGTCAAGGCTGTGATATGGTCCTGTAGTTTTGCAAGATGTCACCACTGGAGGAAACTGGATGAAGAGAGCACAGGATCTCCCTGAGTTATTTCTTACAATTACATGTGAGCCTACAGTTTTTTCAAAAAGTTTAAAAATTTTTTAATCACATTCATGCTATTATTTGCCTAGATGAGGGTTTTTTTTTTCAGTTGCTCTAAGAAGTAAAACTTGTCAATTTTAGGTTCGCAACAAAATTGAAAGGAAGACTGAGATTTCCCATGTCCCTCCACTCCGCACACATGCAAAGCCTCCCGCTGTCGACACCCCTCACCACAGTGGTACTTTGGTTACATTTGATGACCCTACACTGACATTTAATCATCACCCAGAGTTCATCATTCACATCAGTGTTCAGTCTTGGTGTTGTACATTGTATCGGTTTTGACAGTCTATAGATTTTTTTTCAAGATTAATTTTTTAAGTAAAATTTTTAATTTTTAAAATAATTTTTCATTTTCCATGTAACATGTAAATACATTTTGAGTCCTAGTGCAACAGTAATATTCAAACTTCACAGATACAGCTAAACGCACCTTCGACAAGTGCCCCTCAGTCCTGGTTTGCCTTTCCCCAGTCCAAACGATACAGTTCACACCTACTTTACTACAGTTCTGGTTGCTGGGCTTTTCTGCCCAAACGTAAATGTTACTCCGATTTGATCCCTGTGATTTCTCCAAGGTCGAGACAACAGCTTGGAGCTGCTACCACTTCGTACCCAGCCTCCACCTGCTTCCAAGCATCACACATGCCATGGCTCCGACCCACTCAAGACCGCTTCCCTTCTTTTAAGAGATTAGAATATTAATTTATTCTTTTGAACTCACTAGATTTGAAGAATTCCTCTAGGGTGGACAAAAAGAGCTCTTATTCGTGTCACGACCTGTATCTTCAATGACTTAAATGCAGAGGACTGATCTAAAGATATTTAAGTGCAGACATTTTTGAGAAAATAGTGTCTTAAACGCAAATGACTTTAGCACTCTAAAAATCAGAATACACTTTTTTTTTTAACGTTTCCAGAGGAGAAGAAAGCTATGCTGCAGGAAATAGCTAATCAGAAAGGAGTCTCCTGTCGTGCCCAAGGCTGGAAAGTCCACCTGTGTGCCGCCCAGTTGCTGCAGCTGGTAGGTGGCGTTCCCGCAGCTGTGACGTCATGCTGGGGCGGCTGGATTCCCTGAGTCATTCTGAAGCATTCCCAGTTGACACGGGTCATGGTGGAAGTTCTGTGTGTGCTGTGTAACATAATTATCCTGTCTATTCCATGGATGTACTGTAATCTGAGCACATCTTAGCTCTGGTACCCATAACTGCAATCTATTGAACAGCCGTGGTGTGAGACCTGCAGTTCGGGTTCTGTGTTAGACGTGTTGCTGTGACATCTGATCAAGGAGCCTCTAACTGTGGTGTGACGGTCTGACAGTGAGCCCCACCCCTCGCCATTCTGCTCCTTATCATGGGACCAACAGCGGTCCCACTTCTCCACAAATAGTGGGCCTCAGTTCTCTGCCCACTTGCGATATTCAAGTAAGCCAGTCACACCCTCCCGTGAGCACCGGGGGCACCTCTCCCCCTGGATACTACAAAGCCTGCCTCCTGCAGCCCCTGCTGGTTCACGGAGTGCAGCCCCCACGTGGCCCTGCGTGGTGTGCAGTGTCCTCTTCCCCTCAGCTGTAAGTATATTGACCAGTAAACTGCTGTTGATCTCACCTGTCTGCCATTTCCATCCCCCTGGGGTGGCAGTCCTTCCTTCACCAACAGGGTAAAGAGGAGGCGATCAAAATGGTAACCTCACAGAGTTTGCCCATCTTTGGAATAGAGTGATCTAAAGAACATTGTCTTTACTGAGTTTGTTTTTTTTTAAGGTAGTGCCAGGGGAGGGTATAGCTCAGTGACAGGGTGAGTGCTTAGCATGCATCAGGTCCTGGGTTCACTCTCCAGTACTTTCATCTAAAAAAAAAAAGAAGTAGTGCCATGGTTAGTTTTTGTATTTAGCAGAAATACAGGACTTGTAGACTTGTTTTGCAGAGGAATTGTGAATTCAGGGCAGTATTTAAAAGTTATCCTTGAAGGTGGACGGTGCCTTACAACAAATTGTGGGGTAAATTGTTGTCGATCGGTTTTCCTTGCTGTCCTGTACCTTATTCATTGGAAGAAACAGTTTTATCAGCGAAACAGATCTTTTCCCAGTTTACACAGGTGATTCAAGGTGGGTTTATTGGCCTGAGTTTGACAACAAAGAGAATCTCTGAGGTCACAACGCCCTCTTGTTTGTTGCAGACGAATCTAGAACACGACGTTTATGAAAGACTCACCAACCTACAGGAAGGGATTATCCCAAAGAAAAAAGCAGCAACTGATGATGATTTACACCGAATAAATGAACTAATACAGGTTTGAAGGGGTCCTCTCCCTCTTCTCTTAACTGCTCCCTTTTTCCCTCCCTCGTCCAGTAATGTCTTGAGTCAAAACCTGTTACTGACTTCCGCCCGCATTATCAGAAACACGAAAACCACACTGTCTTGAAGATGACGGTTGGTGACATGATGTCTCTCGTTCCAGGGAAACATGCAGAGGTGTAAGCTCGTGATGGATCAGATCAGCGAGGCCAGAGACTCCATGCTCAAGGTCTTAGATCACAAAGACCGCGTCCTGAAGCTTCTAAACAAGAACGGCACTGTCAAGAAGGTGTCAAAATTGAAGCGAAAGGAAAAAGTCTAGACCCCAAATCAGGACTCTGAAAACAGAATTGATGAAGAATGACGTTGGGGGTGGGGGAGGGCTCCAGTTATTTGCAAAGTGGATTTTCCTTAATTCACATGTGAAAGCAGAGGGACCCGTAGCACAGTGACGCGGCGGGATCAGAGCTGGTCCGACACGGTGGATGCCAGTCTCTCTTCCAGGCGGCTCCCTCCCACACTTCCTGTCCCACACGTGACTTGTGATGCATCAGTGTCTCCCGGTTGAAATCAGTGACAAATGACCGGCTGGCATTTCTCGGCCTTCCAGCCGACAAACTGAATTTAGCTGATGGATTCCTGCAGGACCTATTCTGAGCCTGGACTGAAAGTATCCACTCGGACCATCTGTTCTCTCTCCACTGAAACTCAGACCTCTCCCCTCACCCCAGCCGGGTCTTACTCCGTCTGCCCTTCAGATGCCCAAGCTGGCCTTCGAAAGCAGTGCCATGGCACCGAGCGACCTGCCACATCTCACACTCTAAAGGGTTTGAACTATCGAGTCTCGTCGTTTTTTTAAAGAACCATTTCACAGTGAAATTGTTATATTGTCTGTCCTGCGTGTGTCTGAGTTGGGTTTTTGTGGAGGTGCCGAGCCGGCAACACCGTAAGTTGCTCTGAGATCCCTGTCCTGAAGTACATTCTTGGTTATCTGTACTTCTATAGCTGGTGTGATGCTGTTAATCGTATGTACCGCACATCTCCAAACGTTAATAAAGGACTCAAAGAGGTTTTTGTACATAAGCAGTTTGTATCTTTTTATAAAGTTAATCAGTGCCGTGCTGCACGTGTCTTTGAGTGCTTCCCCTCCTGTGGTTTCTCACACACCGTGGGTCTACTCCATTAAAGTTTTGTTATTCCCCACAGAATTCCATTTACCCTGGTGTTTTGAAGATGTCACAGATTGTGAAGTCTGATGGCTTTGGGTTATCTTAAATACAAGACGCTGTTGTATCCCATCGCACATAGAAGCTGGTCACACTGTGGAACAGTTGAGGGCTGCGGAACATCCGGGAGGGTGGATTTCCTTTACGAGGTTGCTCTTGCTTCCTGTGAACTTGCTGGAATGGTGAGGTGGCTGAGGCTTGCTTTTCGCCCTGACCTGAAGAGATCTGAGACGAGTCCATGCCAGTTCTGATCCCGTCTTCAGGACGAAGGTTGTAGCTCTCCTCCGACTGGCTCACCTGAGACGGCCTTCCTCGAATGGGAGCGGTGAGCGCTCATCTGGTGTAGGGTCGGAGAAGAGAGAAGCCAAGCAGGTGTTCAGCCTTCCCCAGGCTAGAGCACCCACCCGCAGAGCCTCGGCTGCAGAAGTCCTCGGACAGGAGCAGTCAAGGCTGCTACACCAGTGTTTCCACTTGAAGATACGACTGCCCGTGTCCTGGATGCCGGAGTAGTGTTTGACATGGTGGGGTGTGGCTGTGCCAGAACAGTGTTCTTTGCCTCAGCTTCTCATCTGTGTCTCTTCCCAGGGACACGTGGTGTGCCGGCGAGTGAAGGACAGGACTCAGGTATTTGGGACTCTGCATTACAGACCTGTTCTCCCGAAAGGTAGCATTACCTCCCTTAAACAGCATCGATAACCCTGGTCAAGGAATCTGTTCGGGGCAAGCTTACTGTCAGTGCAGGTTAGGACAGTAGCGTCTCCTGTTCTCCCCCGCCTTAGGAGGACAGCACGATCTGAAGTTGGGAGGGCATGGGGGATGAACCTTGTCTACAGTACAACATTATTGAAAAACAGCCTTATCGAGGACTGATGGACATACGGTGAACTAAACATCTTAAAGTGTACAATTTGGTAAGGTTTGACACGTGTATGCCCTGAGAGCATCACCACAATCAAGAGTGAAAATCTCTATCAGACTCCTAAGTTTCCTCGTGCCTCCTTGTGACATCTTACCTCGCACCCCTTCCTGCCTCCGCGCCTCCAGGCCAACATTAAACTCCTTTCTGTCACTCTAGATTATTTGCATCTTCTGGAAATTCATACGAGTGAAATCATACAGTATATTCTCTTTTGAGGGATGGAGTCTGCCACCTTTTACTCAGCATGGTGGATATTTATGCTGAGATCTGCTCATGTTGCTCATGTCCATAGTTCCTTGCCTTTTAATTGCTGAGTAGCGGGCATTCCATGATGTGGCTCTTCCACAAGTCGCTTGTCCGTTCACCTGTAGAAAGGCATTCGGGTTGTTAGGTCTGGGTTATTACAGACACAACCGTTTTACACATATCTGATCTTTGGACAAGTGGTCAGTGTACAGCTTAATTGGTGACTTTGTTAGTTGTGCTTTCCAGGGATTCATGACCAGGAGAGAGCACTGAGAAGGCCACACACCCAGTGGCTCTTGGCCCAGAAAACTATCATCCACATACTGAAAGATTAGAAAGAATTAGAAATACATCGGAGGTAAGACTTCAGTATTTGGCTTCTGTTCTTTACAATAGAAAAATCAAAGGAATGTGAATCTGGGGGAAAAAGTTTTAATCCATCTGCTTGGTCTAGAAAATTCTGTATTTTTTAAAACCTGGGTATTTCAAAAGACTATTAAATAGAAAGTGCCTTATAGTGTTATCCTTTTCAGTGATTTTATCATAGGAATAATAATCACACAATTTTAAGAGTTTAAAGAGTTGTTTAGAGGTTATATAGTCCAACCCAGCCTGTGATGAAATGCACACATTTGAAAAGATGTAAATTTTCGTACTTTTTTTTATTGCAGAAGACAGCACAGATTCAGAAACGTACATGAAACAAATGCATAGCTTTCATAAATCCTTAAAAGAACAACTTGACTATGACTACCCAGAGTAAGACACAGAGCCTTGCCAGTCACCTCAGGAGCCCCACAGCTGCTTCATTCCAATCGCAACCTTCTTCCTGCCCCACAAGTAACCACTATCTTGACGCTTTTCCGCCAATTTTATCATGGTATGATTACATGTAGTTAAATACCCAAAGCTTTTTTTGTATGAGTTGATTGTGAGAAATGAAGGGTCTTATCCAGGAACCTGGAAATGGGCAGACACATCTCTTTCTCAGGAACGTTCTGGTTTATGATTTTGGCCTGATGACTCACCTCACTTAGGAAGGAAATGGGAAAGGGTTCCAAGTCACTTCGCAATTACATTTCTCAGAGAAGGTCTGTGCACATCAGTCACCCAGCCTTGCCCTGGAGCATGGTGTATGACATCCCTGACGGTTTTAGAAACACCTGAGTTCACGCCCCTGCCCGAGCCCTGGGCGCACGCCACTGTTAGCTGAATTTAGGTTTGAGTGAGTGCTTATCTCCAGCTCCTGAAGAATTTGTTGCTGAAGTCGCCTGGACCCTTGCCAAGGTCCTAGCCCGGGCGGAGACCTCTTATTCCATTTGGGGAGGTTCTTTTTATGCTCAGATTTGCACAGCCAATCACAAAATGATGCTGAGACAGGAACAGCACAAGCTTTGTTCAATCTGAAATACACAAATCTTAAATTTACAGTTTTGTGCGCACTGATAAATACATACAACCATCTAAATAAAGATACATGACTTCTGTAACCCCAGAAACAGGGCCCCTTTGTAATCAGCACCCTCTCCACCTGACCCCACCCCCGCCAGCCCACAAGGTAAGCACTGATCTGCTGTCCCTGATCATGGGTTAGTCTTGTCTGTTCTTGAACTTCACATAAATGGGGTCATACAGTACGTACTTGTTTGCATCTGGCTTTTTTGCTCAACATAATTTGAGATCCTTCCGTTTGCTGTGTGTATCACAAGTTGTTTGTTTTTGTGCTGTGTGACTGCCACAGTCTGCTTACCTGTTTCCCCACTGAAGGGCATCTTGGTGCTTCCAGCTCTTGACTGTTATGAGTAAAACTGAACATTCCTATGCAGGTTCTCGTGTGGAAGTAAATTTTCAAGTCAGTTGGGTAAAAACCTAGGAGTGTGATTGCTGGATCATGAAGTGAAACTATCTTTAGTCTTGTCGGAAACTGCCAAACTGCCTTGCAAAGTGGCTGTACCATTTCACATTCCCACCAGTGACAAATGAGAGTTCCCGTTGCTTCACATCCTCGCCAACGTTCTGTGATGTCAGAGCGTAGGTTTTAGCCATTCTGACAGGTGTGTAGTGGGGTCATTGTTTTCCTTTGCAGTTCCCTAATGACATGATGTGGAGCATTTTTTCAAATGCCCATTTGCCATCTTTATATCATTTTTGATGATTTTGCCCATATTTTAATTAGCTTGTTTTCTGATTGAGTTTAAGAGTTCCTGGCATATCTTAGATACAGTCCTTTTTCAGATACGTTTTTTGCAAACATTTTCTCCTTGTCTGTGGCTAACCTTTCCAATTACTTAATAAATTGTGCCTTTTGAAGAGCGTAAGTTTTCAATTTTAATGAAGTACAGCATCCATTTTTTTCTTTCATGAATTGTGCGTTTGGATTATAGCTAAAGACTCATCACCAAACCCAAGGTCACCAAGATTTTTCTCCTGTTTTGTTATAGGAGTTTTTTTTGTTTTTTTTTTTTTTTTTTAGTTTTATGTTTTACACTTAGACCTCAATGATCCATTTTGAGATAATTTTTGTGAAAATTGTAAGGTTTGTGGAAAGATTTTTTTTCTTTTGGTACATGGATGTCCAATTGTTCCAGCACCATTTGTTGAAAAGACTATTCTTAATTAAATTGCCTTTGCCCCTTTGCCAGAGATGAGTTGACTGTATTTGTGGAGGTCTATTTCTGGGCTCTCTATTCTGTCCCATTGATCTATTTGTCTGTCCTTTTGCCAGCACCATTCTGTTTTGATTACTGTAGTTTTTTAGGAAGGTTTGAAGCTGAGCATTTATCAGTTTTCCAACTTTGTTCTTCACTGTTGTGTTGGCTGTTCTAGATCTTTTGTCTTTTCATATAAACCTTAGAATCTGTTAACATCTGCAAAACAGCTTGCTGCAATTCTTATTCGGATTACATAAATCTATAGATCAAGTTGGGAAAGAATTCACATCTTAGTAACGTTGAGTGTTCTGCCCGTGAACATGGACTGTCTCTTCTTTTATTTTGATCTTTGATTTATTTCATCAGTTTTGTGGTTCTCCTCATATACAACCTGTACATATTTCATTAAATTTATATCTAGGTATTTCATTTGTGTGTATGAGCTATTGTAAATGGTACTGTTTTTTTTATTTTGAATTCTACTTGTTCCCTGGTGGGATATGGAACGCAGTCTACATTTTTATACTCTTAGCCTTGTGTGCTGTGATGTTGCTATATTCACAGTTTTTTTTGTCTGTTCTTCGGGACTTTCTACATAAACAGTAATTCCATCAATGAAAAAATACGATTTTATTTCTTCTTTCACAGTTGGCATAGATTTTATTTCCTTTTCCTATCTTATTGCACTGGATAGGCCTTCCAGTCGGATGCTGAATAAGAGTGGTAAGAGGGAATATCCTTGCCTTGTTCCCAGTCATGGGGGTAAAGTGTCCCATTAAGTATGATGTTGGCTGTGGAGTTTTTTGGTAGCTTTTCTTTATCAAGTTAAGGAAGTTCTCCCCTATTCTTCATTTGCTGAGAATTTTCAATCACAGATTGAATGATGGATTTTGCATATGCTTTTCTGCATCACTAATATGATCATATTTGAGCTTTCTTCTTTAGCATGTTGATCTCTTACTTCACATTAGGTTTTTGGGGGCTTTTTGTTGTTGTTGTTGTTGTTGTTGTTTTACTATTGAACCAACCAGTCAAA